AGTATTGCTTTGTTTAAAACAAATTGAAACAAATGTAACGAAATAAAGCAAAACAAAACAAAAATAAAGTACATACATATGTACATACTTATCATCACAAAGCAGAGCCACTAATGTTTGGATGGACGATCACGACGTTGAAATCGACGTAAGCGACTACAGCGGTGGCAACAAATGAAAGAAGTGAATAATTTGGTATTTGCGCAACGCACTTTTCCTTTTTTGCACATTTCAATATGACTGCGGCGACGATGATACCTCAAAGGGGAATATGTGTAAGAAAAGAAACAACAGCAAACAACTAATACATAGCGATCACAGTTCATATTAAAAGAGAGCTATATATGAACAAGTATCTTCACCACCAGAAAGCACTAAGAAGTTTCTTTTTTATGATTCCATAGTTATTACGCTTCCATAGTTACTTCGTATTATTGTTTTCACAAATGCCATTACCATAGAAAATTTATTACGGAGGTAGAGTTCTCGTAACTTTTCATATAGTTGCACAAACTATTCAGCCCTCATGCTATTACGTCTCCGCCCCTTTATTCTGGCGCTAGTGAATCAAATTTTTACTTCCACTTCACATATTGCAATAAAATTACTTCACGGGAACGGGATATTTGTAGCTTTAAAAAATATGAGCCTACTAAATACACCAATTTCCACAAAAAGAATGGGAAATGAAAAATCTACTAATAGTCGCTCCCTTTGTGGGACACACAAACTCACCGAGCCACATTGTGGCGGCGAACCAGTAACACTCGGCGAACGCTGCACGGTCACCAAAGCCATGCTCATTTGGCGGAGTTTCCTATCTTTTTCGCCAACTAAACTTTTCATAAATTCATTTTTAAATACTTAAATTCACTATTTCCTTTTGCACAACGCAAGACAATTGCAATAATTACGGCTGACTCCAAATATACAAAATACTTAGCTGTCACCTCATCTGTCACTAGAGGTGAGAGCTTTGCAGGTTGGCAGTACTTGTCCCTGACATCGATGAGTACAAAACTATCGTTTTAGGAGTATGACTTCGATAAACTGGTTTTAGAATTGGGTTTTTTTTTTTTTAGCAGAAAAAGAATAAATTGTGATATTGCCTCATGAACTTAAAGCGCCATGGAGACAATCACATAAATATCTCAAGCATTGCGTATCATTTATTGGATAATTTCATATGTTATATGTTATAAATTAATAATATTTATTACATTTCATAAAGCTAGCAAAAATTGATAATGATCAATCAAACGTAAATCAATTTATTGTTCTTGTCCACGAACTTGCTCACCACGACGACCAAAAAGCACGTGAGCTTGTTGTTTGTCAAGCATTACGCGAGACGATCAAATAAGCAGTCATCAAATTCAAATATCAAAATTTTTTGATTTTCATCAAGTATAGCCGGCAATGAGCCGCTGTAGTGTACGAGTAGCCGCCAAAAGCCGACGACACCAATACACTTAAAGCATTGATAAAGATATTTGAACGTCTCCGTGGCACTTAATGGTTAAATATTTATGTTCTTTGCAAGACGCATTTTTTTTGATTTGCTTAAGACGAGTTGTTTTTTTTTATTTAATTGCAATAATATAGCAACCCATATACATACATAGCAACCATCGTACAGTTTCATAGGGCTTTCGCCCGAGGCGATTTTTCAGGCAACTTTTAGTTGCCTTTCAACTAATCGCTTTCAACAGAGTTGGTCGCCAGCCAACTTTGAGCTCGTTCAACTTTTTTTCCTTGCAACCCTGTGTTTGTTTACATTCTGTATACATACTTTTTTTCTTTTTACTTTTTTACTTTTATTTTATCTTTCAGCTTCGCCAAAACCACTTCTACCAACGCTTGGCTTACCAAATTTACGCCAATTAATAAAATTTTGCGATTTAAATTCATTTTCAATAATGTAAATAACAATTCGTGCTGAATCGAAAATCGCCTCGTCTGAATAGGGATGGCAACGTTTTCACTTTCAGCTTCTCATTCAACTTTTGTTGCCTGTAAAATCGCCATGTGCGAATGCCCTATTATGGAACTGTACGATGATAGCAACCCTTCATAGCTCTTTCATCAACGCATTTTGCACCAGAAGATGTCGCCTGAGATCTCTTCATTTATCTTTTGAGTAACTTTCGTAAATATTTGCAAGAGTGATGCAATTAACTTGCTTATTTTAGCATAATATATGCATTAATTAGATTTTATTAGATAGAAATTAAGTGTTGGTATTGTTGATTGATTGGAACTTTTAGTTTCTTTAAAGGCAACAAACATTACTGTCATTAGTGTCATTCCATATATATTCTATTTGTTTAAAGGTATCTCGAAGGTCAAATTGCCGTGCTCGTCAAATAAAAATACTTTTTTTTTTTTTGCTTTTTGCAAATCATCATTATATAAATAATATTATCAGGATGTCAGTACTAATAGAAGACGAACAAATGAATAATCAACGGCTGTTGCCACGGATAGCGCTGATCGCATGCGGCTCTTTCAGTCCACCGACCCCAATGCATTTTCGGATGTTCGGTAATGAAGACGAATTGCGAAATTCAAAAGTTTTCAATGCAGTAAAATCATAATTCATACATATACATATATCATTTTTCACATTTCAGAAATCGCACGAGATTATTTTACAAGTCAAGGGTCCCACCATGTTGTTGGTGGTATCGTATCACCCACACATGATTCATATCAGAAAAAAGGACTCGTTGGAGGAACATATCGATTTGCTATGCTGAAATTAGCTTTACAATCATCCACTTGGATTAGGGTAAAACAAATAATTTTACCAATGATATGTCAACAGACTGCACATGTACATATGTATATGGAATATTACTTTTTAAAGGCTTCTGACTGGGAAATACAGCAACCGGAATGGTCACGTACGCTTTCCGTTTTGCAGTATCATCAAAATTATATGAATAATTATGTCAACTCGCCGATAGAAAATGAAATAAATGGCACGATACCGGGTTGGTTGCCACCGGGATTGCGTGAGCGTCAGGATGGGGTGCAATTGAAACTGTTATGTGGAGCAGACTTGCTGGAATCGTTTGCAGTGCCCGGACTGTGGGCTGATAAGGATGTATGTAGAAGATATTAAATCGTATAAACTACTTATTATACTTGTTTGTTTATCATATTGGCAAACCACATGAATACTTATATACAGATTGAAGATATTGTGGGTAATCACGGTCTGGTGGTGATAACACGATATGGCTCTAGCCCTGAAAAATTTATTTTCGAGTCAGATTTGTTGACTAAATATCAGGTGAGTTGTTTAAAGAATCGTGTGTATGTATACGTATTTATACTTTTTCTTACTATTTGTTATCACTTCTCAAAGAAAAATATTACATTAATAACAAATTGGGTGCCGAACGAAGTAAGTTCAACCATGATACGCCGGCTTATTTCACGTGGACAGTCAGTTAAATATTTGCTTGATGATCGGGTTATCGATTATATTCAAATGCAAGGACTTTTCAACTGTAAAACGTAAGTGATTTTTATTTAAAGCAATAATTGCTTGCTTTTATGGCTTAAGTGATTACGGCAAATGCACATATTTTATGTATGTATGTAAATACATGTATGCATACATACATATACAGTGGCAGTCAAAAGTGAAAGAACGGTGTTTCGTATTTAATATTTTCAATGTTTTTCAAGCTATATTTTTTCATATTTTTTATAAAAATGTGGTTAATGCTTTAGCAAAAGCCATATAAATCACACTCTCAAACTTTACCCAGAATTTAAAAAAATCCCAAATTTTTATCTAAATTTCAATTTTTTTAGTCAGATTTTTTTTTCATTGGATTATAAACTTTTAGTAAAATTAGTGTACGTTTTGAGCGGCTCAAAAATCGCATTGATTTTTAATATTTTTTTTTTTTGTTGAATGCGTTATGAACTTGTTCATATAAACATGAATTTTTTGTGGAAAAATATGCGCAAGGCCTTTTGCAAAAAAAAAAAAACAAAAAAAGTCAACGCCAGTGTTCCTAAATTTCGCTTTTTATATGAAAAAACCAAAAAAATACGTCAGCAAAAAAAAAATTATTAAAAATCAATGCGATTTTTCTGCCGCACAAGCCTTGCACTAATTTTAATAAAGTTTTATAATCCTCGTAACTGCATACCCCAAAAATTTTAAAAAAGTGTAATTTATATGGTTTTTGCTAAAGCATGAACCATATTTTTATAAAAATATCAAAAAAATTATAGCTTGAAAAACATTGTCAATATTAATACGAAACACCATTCATACACTTTTGACCGCCACTATATACTATTATACAATATTACAAAATAGACGCACAGCAGCCGCCGTAGCCGAGTGCGCTTGTGCATGGCATATGTATTAGTAGACCGAACGAGCTAAGTTTAATTCAAGCGGACGTCGATAATTTTTATAAATAAATTTGTCTTCACCTTGTAAATCTAGGTGACATGTGATTACTTAGGTAAGATTACCAAAAAGAGCAGTCTCGTGGTAGTAGAATCTTAAATCTCCGAGAAAATTACGAAATTCTCAATTTCGTTTTTGAGTTCTTTGTAAATTTTAGATGTTTGTGAAGTCGGATAAGAACTCTCTCTATTTCTATTAATTATGAATTCGAAGTAAATTAAAATCTGCAATCGAATGCTTGGCAGATCAAATTTTGACTTCACGGACAAACAAGTATATAAGAATCGTCTTTAGTTCTTTGAAAAAAATGGAGTAAAAACTTTATTTGGCTACACTATTTTATCAATAAGTTACGATAAATTATAATATTTTCAAGCTACCTAGTAGATCTTTCTGCATGAAGCTCTCAGATACGTACAGTGATTTTGGCATGTATCCCTGATACGGAAAAACAAGAAAAGTTTCCATAAAAAAACTTGTACTAAACATTTTGAAGTTATCTTAATTTTCATAAAAAATGCTTGTTAACGGTTTTGGTAGAAAAAATAATTAAAAATACATCATTCATATTTTGAGTCAGTTCAGAACGGAATAAAGCACTGATTACAAATCGTTTTATTTGATTACTTTTTTTGCGCCAACTGAGCTCTAGGTGACCTAGCGCATCCGTAAATAGTGCTCACCCAAATATCACAACTCTGCCTTATAAAAACAAGATATGTAAACGAAATTGCATGCGGATAAAATCCGCAGAATCAACACCGCAACAAGTCAAAATTGAATGGAAACTAATAATGGAGTGTGAGTTGCTATTTCTTAAAGCAATACATATTCGACATTTTTCAACTATGCTAATAGAATGTATTTACTATAATTGCATGGTAACAAAACCATTGAATTACTTGCGCATACACGATCATTAATATGTATATACGTATAAAATTATTGTGCGCATCCATATTTCTGCATGACATAACTAATGCTTAATTTTTATGGTATTTTACTTAGAAACTATAAAACATTGTTGGTATTGCGTTACTTAGAATGAATTATTTATTTTATAAACTTTTGCAATATTTGTTTCATACAAAGAAGTTCCAAACATTCCTAACATACTTTTTAATTCATATTTTTGCTTTGTTTGGATTTGTAGTAAGTATATAATTGGACTAACACGTTTGCAAACATTCCCACAAAAGTATAACAATTTATTTTTAAACCGCCTTAATACTAATCCAAGCTCATCCGTCAATAATTCGCCGTCTGATGAGGAAGATGACGATATCGCGGCGGAAAGAGCTGAAAATATGGATGAAAGCGATTATTCTATTAAAAATATTTTGACTAGTTTCAATTTAGATAACCGTAAGCCTTCAAGCATGAATGTCTTTTGTTGTGGAGAGAGTGAAGTCAATGCTCCAGCAAAGAAACTATTGCCCAGTCGCAATGGACCAGGACAAGTTGTACAAGTTGTAACGTCCGAGAGGGGTAAAAAATTTACAACGGATATACAACGTACGAGCAGTGGAATGGATGAGGTAAATTTCGTTTTTTTTTTTTAAATTTATAACGTATTTTAAAAATGGACTACCCCCTTTTAAAAACAAAGCAAGGTGCAATTGAGTTATGCATTACTGTGGAAAAAAAAGTTACTCCTTCTTTGAGTGCAATGAGAAACTTAACTCCATTCTTGATCGGTGCTGTAACCGCCTAGCCGGTTTTTGGCCAGCCCTGCCAAATGTACGGTTTTTACCGTACGGTACGGATTTGCAGGATTTTTTTACGGATTTTTAATTAAAAAAAAACCTTATTTTGGTACTTGAGGGACTTATCTATTAACAGCATGTCTATTTTTGACCCGATTTTAAAAATCAAACATTAGAAGAGGATTTATCGGCCTTTAAAGTAATGTATAACAATCTATTGGTAGACCTCGATTGTTGGGAGTATTTGTCGCGTAAAATTAAAAAACCGAAATTTTCTTTATTTTTTCAACTTTAACCATCGCTGCAAACATTGCACTGTTACTGGGTAGGGTCGACGACCTTTTGCGTAGAGCGTGGGGTTCTTTAATAAAAGTAATCAGCCTCATTGCGTAAGTTGTAAATTAGCTAAATTTTACCACTCAGCAACATTGGCATCGACCGCTGTGGTGTAGTGGTAAGCAGTGCGCGCTTTCACACATCAGCACCTGGGTTCAAGCCCAGGTCAAAGCAACATCCCAAAAAATATAGAAAACGGTTTTTTCTTAACAGCGGTCGTCCCTCGGCAGGCAATGGCAAACCTCCGAGTGTATTTCTGCCATGAAAAATAGCTTCTCATAAAAATACAATCGCCGTTCGGAGTCGGCGTAAAACTGTAGGTCCTTCCGCTTTGTGTGACAACATCAAGGCGCACGCCACAAGTCGGAGGAGAAGCTCGGCCAAACACTAACATATGTGTAAGCGCCAAACTATTATTATTATTAACATTGGCATTGCCAACTGTCGCGCTGAAATAAGTAGACGACGAAAATTGTCGAAAAATATCCAATGCTGTCAATGCAATTGCACTCGCAATGAGGCTGAATACTGAGGAGTTTATTAGAAGAGCGGGTTTCATTGTAAAAATTATATTTTAATGTTTTTATCATGCATACATATATCGTCACCTGAAATGTAAAACGACGTAACAAACATCGTCGCTGAAATTCAAAAAGTCGTAAGTAATAAAAAATAAAAAATTTAGTTTTTGATTGATATGATGGCCTTCTTCGAATTACAACTCCTATATCATTTAATGCAAAAAAATAAAAAAATTTTAGTCACGACTTTTTCCATTTCAGTTACGATGTTGTTACGCCTTTTTGTATTTCAGGTGACGATATGTAAGTATTCGTCGCACGTATGCCAGAAACATGAATGTGTAAAAATTTAAATTTTAGGAAATCAAGTTTGAAAGTTTTTTTTCTTTTTCTTTCTTAACTCTCGCGAATAAAAACTAACCAATAACTTTTTCTTAAATTTATATGAATAAATGGAGTAAAAGGTTGGAAATTTTTCAGAAAAAGTAATTGCTTTGTTATTATTCATACAGTCCATTGTATAATTACTAACTACTCGTATACTCGTATTCTAAAATATTATTCCCTTATATGTATGTTTGTTTTGCAGTCCGATGCTAAAAAGATAAAGACAGATGCTGTGAATGTCTAATAAAAGACGATAAAAAGTTCCTTAAAGAGAAAAGCTAAGAAGTAATATCACAAATCAAGGGCTGTAACAGGAATATTATGGACTTTGAAGCGGGATCGAAAACTTCATACAAGATATAATATTAAACTAGTTTAGACATGCTTACGCTTATCTTAAATGAATCTTCTGATATTTGAATTGTTTTTTTAATTGTATGTTGCAATGGCAAAAATGTAATTCCTTTTCGTTACACATGTACGTATTTATATGAATATTATAATGGTATACTTGTTTGTAAAAGATAATACACTAAGCTACACCTTGATGATGCATTATAAAATAAATTTTCTTTCTTTGAAATTTTTCGGTTAAGTATACATAAGATATAACAAATATTATGTACCACTATCACCCATTTTACATGATAATTTTAACTGAACAAATAGGAAATATATTGCTGGCTTTTATTATACCCTATACATTTTTCGAAATGCTTTTAACCGTTATTTTACATTGAAATTTTTTTAGAATAATAGATTAAATCCGCTCTTAAAAATAATTTTATGTGCATTATCTTATTTGGCGAATAAAATTAGCAAATTTTTGAGACTTCCATTTCCTCAACAGCTGTTATGGCAATTTAACTTTTTGCACATTTGTGCCTGGAAAAAGTCTGGGTTGTTTCGGGCACGAAGAAAGACATTTACGACCCAAAAATGGAACGTATTTGCTCTCTATAACCCATTTTTTTAGCATGCGGAACGCTTTGTGAGTTGTTTCGGGCAACCGCGGGATCCCGCGGGCTCGTGTGGAACAAACCTAATAACTTCGTTTCTATTAGTTGCGTTCCAGATGCTTAAATTGTTGCAACAATGTGGCTGTCAAAGAAATTAAAATTCGAAGGATTCGTGCGTATCTGATGGCACTGACAATAAATGAAAAAAAATGATTTTATGCATTATTTCAAAAAGTGCAAAAAATGAGCGGCTTTTTATTTGCTATTTTGGAAGCTAAAAAACCGTACTATTTAATACGGTCCCCTTTTTTGAAATTTTTATAAAAAAAAAATGTATTTTTTTTCTGGAATACCGTAAGCACTCCCTAGGTTTAGTTTTTTTTCCAAAATTTGTGTTCTTAAAGTTATCTACTATATATATATATGGAAATAAAACATGTCAAACCAACATTGATGTGTTTTTGATATTTATTTCCGTGTAGAGCTAACGCATGGTTATGCTCTGATTAAAATTCTTAGTATAAAATTTGTTGAGTTTAGTGGCTTGCGGGCGGCACATCATTTATTTTATAGGGAACATTCTGTTATATGTATTCTTTTTAGTGGATAAATTACCTTTACAAAAATACCAAACACGTTCACATTGCAAACAACGAACGTTTCGATTTATACACGCTTAGGCGGCACTGTGCGCCGGCGCGTCTGGAAACGCCGGCGCTACTGCCCATAAGGTAGATTCCAAAGAGCCACGAGGCTACTAATCTTATCATGTCATCTCGGCAGAGTTAGGCTTTCGCCATGCCAATTGAGATTATAATTATATTTATTTCATTATTGAATTAGTTGAAAATTTAAATATTGTTACTTCCTACTTGAATTAAAATTTTGAGTGCCTGGCGCTGATGGATGGGCGAACAGAAGAAGGTCTGAGGTTTATACATACGTACATGGTTCTTCATAGATTGAAAACTAGGGTGGTCTACTATTTTCCAACATTTTTACCCATCAACTCCCAGTAGAGCAGGCCTTTTTGACCCACTGTTTAAAAAATGGATTATAGATGGTTAAAATTTCCACTAACATATTACTTACTTCCACCTAGTATTTGTACACACGTTTGTGGGACCCCAGAATAAAATAACTTACTTATTTAAAATCTGTACAAAAAAATATTCAACATTTTATTAAAGAAAAAATACACAAGAATATGAATTTGTTTTTGTTTTATCTCAAATAATTGAGGAGTTAGATGTAATAAGGGCACTTCTGTTAAAACTGCTTTCTGAGATATTAGCGTTAAAGTTTTTGGTGTGTGATAACTTACTTGTTGTTGTAGTAATATGTAAAAGAGGAATCTTGTTGTGGTATTGAAAAACAATTTTTTTTTATATATTCTGGAGTAGTAGTTCCTTCAAGCGATGTATTTCAATGTGTATTCATTATGAAAATTTTGTACAAAATTTCTGAGGCGGCGAAAGTAACCGCGCGCCGATATTTTCGTAGCTCGGCGGCGTATACCTCTAATGCATATTTATTTCCAGACGTAATAAAAATTTTTTAATTTGCAAAATTTCGTGATAAATTTATAATTTGCTACACAATGCTAAAAATTAAAAACACGTAAAAATTGATTATGAATGTATTTTACTGTTATGCTAGCACACCATCATCAGAATCAAAAATACAAACAAATATCCGAAAACCTAATGTTTAAGATCTTTTGAATCTTTTGTTACGCTCCGGTATTTAGCACAAAGCTTATTCTCAATGGGTACTTCGTTTCACCAATCTAATCGGAGGAAAGTGACAGAACAAACAGCTACACACATACTATGTATGTATGTATGTATGTAAACAAATGTTGTCTAATTGCTTTTTAACAATTACTCGCAAAACGCATTTCTTTCAAATTATACCCACCGCATTTAGTACATACATATATATGTATACGTATACTTATGAGCATACTTTTTTTACCTCTTGAACCTCTGTATTATTCCCGCGTTGATGTCAAATCGATTTTCTGCTCCTCTTAAAAATGGTCGAATTTGCGATTTGAGTTTATTCCACAGAAAACAGACAATAAATCACTGAATGCCAGTATTTTTGCACATATCTGTTATATGTATGTACATTAGCGCACACAAGGGGTGGGTTTTGGGGTTCAAACCCCCCCCCTAAAGCTAATAACCTGAAATACAAACTGTATCCTAAAGCCAGCTCTCAAGAAAAATCACAAGAAATATTTTTTATTATAAAGCACTTTGCTTTTGCTGTAAATTTTCTTGAAGAAATAAGTATACAAGCATTTTTTTCTTGAGAGATGCAAATTGATTTAAGAAATTTTGATAGAAGAAAATTCCTATTCCATTTCTTGTGCGCCATTTTATATGAATTTTTCGTTTTTTTTTTTTTGAGAGCTCTTAAAAGTTTAACTGCGAATGAAACCTAAAAATATGCAATGCATACTCACTTACAGAGCCTAAAAGAGTTTACAACTGATATGTCCTTAACAAGGATACGAAGATTTAATTTGCCCACTTCTAATTCGTTCCACCAAAATTGCCTACATAACAAAAATTCAAGTTCATTTAATTTTCTCGGTATTCGAAATGTTAAAAAAATTAGGCAATCGTAAAAAATCACCATCTCATTCGAAAACCAGAAACCAGATATCGAGGAAAATGAACATTAAAACTCTTCTTTTTTTTAATTTTTTTTATTACTTTTGCAAGTTGAGCGCATCTTGTGTTTATAGAACTTTATATTAAACAAGTAATTTCAAATTACGGGAAGACCATTGAGGTAACATCTTTCCGATAAAAAAAAAGAATTATAGAAATCGGTTCACGTGGTCCAAAGTTATGTGTTAGTATACTATTCCGACGAATTGATAACCTACCCCTTTTGCGAAGTCGGTTACAAATGTTTGAGTTTTTTGCTAATTTTATGTAAATAAATGCAATTTATGAAACTTCAAAAAGTTTATTTATTTATTACATACTGTACATAAAACTTGCATAAATGTACTTTAATGATCATTTTATCTGAAGCGAATTTTCCGAAGTATAAACCCCTCCCAAAATATATTCCTGGGTGCGCCCCTGTGTATGTATGTATGTATGTTTTTGCAAAAGAAAAAAACGAAATAATTCAAAAAGAAAAGTGTTTCAATTGGATAACCCACTGCCATAGTTTTCTTAAGATCGTTCAATGTTGCCTTTGAAAAGAAATTCTTGATAGTTTTTGAAGGTCGCTTTTAATGTAGAACAGTTAAAATTTTCTTCAGGTATAAAATGTTGCTAAAAATAAAATTTTGCAATACAATGCTTGCTTTCTTGTATGATGTACAAAATTCTTAATTGTCACCGGGTAAAAGTGCAATGACATTGCAAACTTTGTATAGGAATAATGGAGTACATAGAGTGGGTGTACATACATATGTATGTGCATACTCACAGAGTGGAATGGAGTTGGCTTATCAAGGGCTTCCCTATTCCCGTATATTCAAAGATTTCGACTTACATATATACATACATATACATATCGTCGTTTTTAAAGTACAAAACCGCGTATCAACAAAATGCAAAACCGCCTATGTGAGGTTGCATAAATTATTTTCTAGAGACTAAAAACACTCATATTTCAAAATGATTCTCTGCTTGTGTGAGCAAATCCAATATTTGGCAGCAAATGTCAGTTACGCGGTTTTGCAGAATGACGATACGTGGTTTTGTACATTAAGCGATGATATGTACATAATATGAGCAATTTATTCGCAGCGCATAAACATACATAAATGCAAAGGGGGCCCATAAATAAACAATTGAGAAATGCATCTAGGTGCTCTAGGAACATTTCTGCATCGAAAAGAAAATTAAAAAAAAAATGTTTGGCGGTTAGGGCACGATATATTTGTTTTTTTTTTTTTTTTAACAAAAAAGTCCGGCTATTTTTTATTGGACCACCTTAATGTACATACATTCAAAATAAAATAAATTTAAATGCAATCAAACTAAATTAAATAAAAAATTTATTAATGAAATACAAAATTTTATAATAGATATTTCAAATTTTGTTCTGAAAAATTTCCGAGACTTGCAGGTTTCACATTAAATCATAAATTAGACCCAATTGGAAAAATACGGATATATGACCGATAACACCGTCCGAGAGTCAATTTTACACACATAAAATCAATATACTCTCGAAACTTGGAGCCAAAAATAGTAAAGCTACGTTTTTAGGTTTTCTCTCTATGATTTAAAAGAAAAAATTTTGCAGAGTTAAAAAGTTTAAATTCTTTGGTGCATAAGAACGAATTTCGCCCTTCGAATTTTATTAGTTTAAAAAATCTCAATTAATAAAAATTCATTTTCAATAATTATTCGTTCTTTATATATTTTATACCCATAGTTTCTTCGGAAAATTTGCTTAGAATGGCAAGCAGAATTCTCACATGCTATACGCACATAGTAAAAAATAAAATTGACCCGCCCTAATGTATGTATATAAAAGTAATTTTTAAGCAAATAACACAACCGACTTCAAGTCTTATATAAAAAAGTACCGTTAATTTCTTCATGATCCAAAGATTGGATC